TTCCTCATAGGACCTACCCTGCTGTCCCTTGATCATACGAGTGGCCCTCCTCTGGACCCTCTCCATGCTGTCCACATCCCTCTTGAAGTGCGGCGCCCAGAACTGGATGCAGTACTCCAGCTGCGGCCTGACCAGTGCCGCATAGAGGGGGAGGATCACCTCCTTGGACCTGCTTGAGATGCATCTGTGGATGCACGACAAGGTGCAGTTGGCCTTCCTAACTGCCTCCCCACATTGCCGACTCATGTTCATCCTGGAGTCAATAATGACTCCCAGATCCTTTTCCACCTCCGTGCTGACAAGAGGGGAGTTCCCCAGCCTGTATGTATGGTGCTGATTGTTCCTCCCCAGGTGTATCACCTTATACTTGTCTGTGTTAAACCCCATCCTATTCTCCTCCGCCCATCCTTGTAACCTATCTAGGTCCAACTGTAGCCTGTTGCTCCCCTCTATTGTGCCCACATTCCCCTACATCTTAGTCATCAGCAAATTTGAACAGGGTGCTTTGCACCCCCTTGTCCAAATCACTGATGAAGATATTGAACAGGGCGGGCCCAAGGACCGAGCCCTGTGGGACCCCACTTCCCACGTCCTTCCAGGTTGAGAAGGACCCATCCACTACCACCCTCTGTATCAGCCCAGTTGATATCCGACTAGTGGTAGCTAGTAAACATCTTGTGATCCTTATTTAAAAGCACTTAATGTGATTGTGGCGTGATTGCTTTTCTGTGCTGCAAGTAATGGCTTTTCAGTAAAGAAGTTTAGTTATAATTCTATCTGTGCATGCAACTTTACTTGTATAAGAAAATGTGTTCATATTGTTGAAGTTAGATGATGCTATAAATGATTGATACCATTCTTTCCCTCCCACAGCTATTTGGACATAGGAGAAGCAAAGAAAAAGCCTGTAGAAGTCAATAATGAGGTAATTCAACTCTTTAAAAAAAATTCTGATATTTATGATAACATATTAATCATTATATTAAAAATTCTATAATCACTTTTACAACTCTTATAGAAAATTTCAGCTTGAGTTTTAGTATGTCTTAGTTTTTATCATTTTTTGAACATAAGTTCTTCAACACATTACATCAGCCAGACTTCCTTTATTTTAATGGCCAGGACTATGAGGAATCATTTTTCTTCCTTTCATCTATCACTGCTGGCAAAGCCAGTAATAAAACAATAATAACATCATTTGATTTGTGTGATCATTAGAGCTGGTCTTAAAATGAAGTGTTTTTTCTGTGTGAAATTTTTGTTGAAAAATTTAGTTTTTGGCTTTTTTTTAACGGAACATTTTTGGGGTTTGACCAAAAAGATTTTAACAGAAAGCTTGATATTTATTGGGGAAAGAAAACACTACTTTTGAAAAGTGTCATTTTACTTCAGAGCACTGTTTTTACATTAAAACCACTTTTGGTGGAAAATATTCCAGCGGCTAGTCATATTCTCCAAACACTCCTGTCTCTTTGAAATGTAGTGATATGGTATTGAACAGGGCAGTGATATTTAGACTTCCTCACCCAGAGTTGCACTGGAATCAAATCACAAATCAGGCAAAAGGTAGGACAGGATGCTAACTGGTCTCTTCAATCACAACTAAGAGAAACTGGTCACGAGGGATTTTTGTATATCCAGCCCCTTCACCTCTTCACCCTCAGAACTTTTGCCGTTGTTGCTTGTGCCTTAATAGCCCTAGAGAGTACCTAGTTAAGTGGCTTATTTGACTTGCTTGCAAATTCCATTCTATTACTTTATATCAAGGGTGTCACACTGAATTTGGCCAGCAGAGCTGTGCGGTCCAGTTCACTGGGCTACTGATGGGGCACTGGAATTTGGGGCATGTGGCCTAGTGAAACATTTGGGGCTCTTTAGCACTGAGCTTGGCTTGCCACCAATGACTACCCTCAACCCATTTCTATTGTCAGACCCCTTGCTGCTGCCATTGCCATGGTGGCCAGGGTGGTACCCCAGGCTGGATCCAGCCTGTAGGGAGCCCTGCAGTCCAGATCTACTTTGGAGCCCCAAGTGAATTTGACACCCCTGCTTCATATGTACGAGGAACTGAATTCATCTCAGGAAATATCTAAAGGTTTTAAAGCTTTGCTGTTAACAGCAGTGTTATAACTTACATTACTGAGGATAAAAAAGATAGCTCAAAAGCTTGCCAGGGAAACTAGCGTGAGGGAGAGGCCTAGGATCATCTGCAAATACGGTGCAAATCCTAGTATCTTTTGCAGTGGTATGATGCCATGGGATGGGTGAGTCTGATTTTTTTTTTTTTTTTTTTTTTTTTTTTTTTTTTTT